TGTGTCAACGGACACTAATAGAACCAAAACAAAGTTTGGACCAACTCTCATTGGATTACAAATGTGGCCAAGAGGGTACAAAAGAAACCCTCCTGCAAACGAAAACCGGTACAGAAATAGATTCAATTTGAAAAAAAAAAAAATCAAAAATTCTGATTCAAAGGTCCATCTGAACAAATAGCGGTGGAAAACATTCAACCGCATACCTAACGATAACGACGATTTCCAGTCCGAATCGAAGGAGGTTCCCAATAAAAGGACTCAAGGAATTAACATTTGAAAGAATAAAGAATCCAACAAAAACAGGGTCAATTGTAGAAAAGTTGGAAAAAAGAAAGTTGGCGATGTTTCAGACGAACCGATATCAAAAGATTCGGAGTTCGATCCAATTGAAGACGATGGTATGGACGATGACAGCCTTAATAGGGTAGCAGATGTTTGTGAAATTGGACCATCCGGCATACCCGAACAAAATCGTAAGAGGATAAGACACAATGTTAGTAAAAGGAGAAGTAACATGAAAAGGTCAAAGCTTTCCATCTCCAATGAAAGTGATCATAATAATCCAAAAGTGAAAAACCATGTCAAAAATTATCAGGTACTCTTTTATTCATATCAATTTAATCGGTGGAGCCCGACTCTGCTGTTACTTGCCTTGTGTGGACATTTCTGTGGCATTTGTGTTCCTGGTGAAGTTTCTTTATAGCAATAGTACCCTCTCTTGTAACTGCACTTGCATATAATCTCCAAAGACATCCCTCTTCACATCTTACCTCCAACTGCCTTTTATTAGTTCTCATAATTTGGATATTTCTACCTTAAACAACGGCCACCTTTTTCAACGCTCTCTTGCATTGGTCAACACTCTCAAATCTCATACCAAGCTCAAATTGAAGAGCATTATGATCACACCTAGGATCATAAATTATTTTCATTTTCCTATTAATGCAATTTCCTTCATCATCCATCTCCATTTCACTACCTGACTCCTCAGACATGAGAGCATGCTGTAGCATTTCACACCCATCCAAGTCCATTTCATGCAGACAATCTGGGAAAGTATTTTTTGCTCCACCATCTTCTTCAACCATCTTGTTTTTACAATTCCTCAAATTTTGTCTGGCCTGAAGGTATTCATCATCATCAGAAAAAAGTATCAGTAAGATATCATCTAATGAGCTAACACCCACTGGGAAATACTCTTCATCATCACTATATCCTCATCAGAGCACATAGCAACACCTAAAGATTCACATGCTGGTAACACTCCACCTCCACCTGTTTTATCTCCATCATTTGCATCATCATCATCATCATCATCTTCATCATCATCTATATTTACATAAACATCTGGGTGTTAATCTCCATTTGCATGATCTTTAACATTTACATCACCATCATCATCTGCCAATCTGTTTGCAGAATTACTCCCTTCAGATGCATTATCAACAACATTAGCTCCATCACCATCATCCTTAGGGTTACTCTCAACCACATAAACTTCTATTATAGTTCTAAACTTAGTGCCAATGTTGATCATCTCCATAACACCACTGTTATCCACTATCTCTTTCATACCAGCATATCCCAGCTTCTTAGGTACTTGATACATAATTTTATCAAACTCCTTAACCCCCAGCTTCTCTACTTCTTCTACCAAATCAAAGTATCCAAACCTATCAATGTCTAAGTCATACACAGTCTTGAAATCCCCACCAAAGTATTCAGTGGAATCTCCGACCTTGATAAAAGTACCACCCTAATTGAAGAAAATAGAAAATTTTCACTGCAATCAAACATAGGGATATAATCAATCCCATATCATAGACATAACATACAAATATCAGAAGTAAATTTAGTTTGAAATAAAATCTAAAATAACTTAAAATCCCTAAAGTGCAAAAACTCTAATTTTGTGATAACCCTAGTTGTAATACAACCCTAATTTCGTGTTAACCCTAATATGAACAAAAAAAACATGAATTCACATAAAAACCAGATTGCATCCAAAACCCTCATATAAAATATATGAAGATTCGGAAAAAAAAACCCTAATTTATCATGGGACCAGACATTAAAAAAGTGCTTCGCATTGTTATGAACACATGGGCCAAAAATTAGATTTACTTTTTTTTTTCCCCATTGCCGATGCACGAAAATCACGAGCAACTGGCGTCAATCATCCGAATCACATGTAAAAATTGAATAAAACAAACAAAAGGGATTTGGATTGTGGTGAATCGCTGGGAACTCTGCCCTAATTTTTCATAAATTGATTGCACAATGGAATGATTTCATTTCAACACAAAATCTAATCGTTTTGTATTCTAAGGATGGAATTTACACTTTCTTTTTTGGAAGAAACACCCCGGAAGGGTAGAGGGTTAAGGCTGGACCCACAAGATGTATATCATTAAACTCAAAATGGGCTGAAAAAGCACAGATCTACAAGTTCAAACAACAAGCAAAACAACCAAAGCCAGAAACAAAAGAGAAAGAAAAAGAAAACAACAGCCAAAGCGAAAAATCTGAAACTGGACTAATAGGTACCCAGGCAAACCGTCAGCGCCACGGATAAAATTTACGCTCTTACCCCCTTTTTTGTTTTGTGTGTGTGACAGTGTGGCATCCTCTTCAGCAACATGAAAATGCGTGAGATTGTCTGCCCGGACACGTGGGCACGGAGCTCGCCGCCAAACAATTTTCGGTTCGGGTTGCAATTTTTAAGAAATTGTGATATGTTTGTAGTTACCTTAAAGTTTGGTTTAAATTGCAAAAAGCTTAAAGGTCATGGTTTTATTTGCAATTAAACTTTAACAATATAAGAGTATGAAGAGAGTAAAATAAGTCTAACAAAATCTCACCAACTTGATGAGATTTCTGTGAGGACTTTGTATTTGTAATTTTATTACAAAAGTCTCTAAAAGTCTTATAATTTAAAAAGTCATAAAAAATCTTCATACTTTAAATATCTTGTGACTTATGGATATTCGGTAAATTTTAATTGAATAACTTGAGATTTTTAAAAATTTATAAAAAATTTTAAAAATTATAATTGAATACAAAGACTTTCTAAAGGTCTAAAAAAGTTCTAATGGAATACATTAAAATTTTAAAAGTATTAAAAAATCTTTAAAACTTAAATTAAATACACCTATTACTCATAACATTGCGAGAATTAAAATATTTTTTTAGCTTATTAAAAGATTTTTCCCTCTTATTTCTATCGCTGTATCCCATTCAAACAGACCCACCATCCCCCCTCTCTCTCCAACCTCTTTCTCTTTCTACCCCTTAGATGACAGAGGGTTTATGAGCGAAAATGGCAGATCAGAAAAAACCCTTTTTCAGTACAAAAGACATTGATGACTTGGGCTCCCAGAATTCTGTTAAAATAGAGAAAAAGCTGTTGGTGGATATAAACCAGCTCGCCGTCGGGCCAATGATCAGTGAAGGGACCTACTCCATTGTCTACGAAGGACTGTGAGTTCTTTTATTTGTTTATTTATTTTTAATTTTCCTGGGGAGAAGAAAATTCCACCGAAATGTTTCGGTTCATCGATAATGATCTTGGTTTCTGTGGCTTTTAGTGTTCTTGAATCGCCATACACCTGGATAGTTCCGCACTCAATCCCCTCGAATTTCGTTTCATTTTTGTGTAATATTTATCTGATGAAGTTTCTTTCTCGTCTTTCTAATTCATTTTCTTTTCATGTGTTTTAATCCAGTCAATCTCTGATAATTCAAAGGCACATTACCCCTGCTTTTTGTTTGTTGAAATGCCAGCCATTGTGTTCTGTTTATCAATTGTCTCTTGATAAGTGTAATGGTGGTTACAAGTAGGAAATTTTAATTCTCTCTTTCTAAATGAAAGGATTCTTTGATGCATTGCTAGAATTTCCTGGCTAGGCAGAAACTTGAACAACATGTGTGATTGTGTGTTCATGAGAAGTTGTTTAAACCACATTGTGATGTTTAAGTAAATATCAAAATCATGGCGGAGAAATCGAGAGGAAAGTGTATTTTAGTTGAGTGCTTTTTGGACGATAAACAGGAAAGAATAAAGTTGTAACGTCCTCATAATTGGCCGTAAAGCGGCTTTTTGCATAAAGAAACAAAAATGCGTGCGTTTACAATTTAGTATTGACTGTCCGGGCTCTTGTTGGGTTAGGTGAAATTTCATGAGATTTTAGCTATCTTCTGGAAATTGCAAACTGATTTTGTAATATTATGCTTTTACCGTGATATTACAAAGATTTTGTGAATCTTGGGAAGTAAGATTTAGGCAACCTTGAAAAATTTATGTTCCATTAATCTCTATGAGTTCACGGAATAATGGACTCCGGCTAATACGTGTATAACTTTATAATAGCTAAAAGTGGTGATAAAAGGAGCATTTATAATGGTGCTTTATGCTCTAGTATGCTCCTCTTGACCTTTCTATGTGGGGCAGATTGCTTGTGAAAGACACATAATTTCTATTGCTAATGGAACATTAATTTTCCGTCTCAAATATGCCACGCGTAAGGTAATGCTGGTTGAATGAAGGGGATGCCTAGATATTTTGGCTATCTTTTGCATATGAAAATTTATCCTAACAACTGTTTAGTTAATCAAATTTAATGCTGATCGCTGAATGAAAGACCGAATATCTGAAATTTTTACAGGCCTAGGACCAAATTTGAATGTAACCATAATTTGACTAACATTCGGTTTTATCTCATTGCTTAACGGATTCAGTGACCCTAAATTATTTAGTTTAGCCAGAAATCAATTTTGTTCTCTATATATTAGAATCATGATTTTACATTGTGGATTTGGTTGCAGTTTATACTGCATAACTGTTGAACAGGTGATTGGTTGAGTCTGTCATGACTCGTGACAAGCATAAAGATTAAGTATAGATGGAATTTTAGATAACTCCTGATTCACTTGATTAATAGAAATAAGAAGCAAAAAACCATTATTAATGGATTGAATATCGTCTAACTTAAAATATGTTACTGAGTGGATAAAATGTAATGACTAACCAGAGAATGCTTGATATAGGACATTATTCGAGGATGTCTAGTATAAAGGTTACATGTTATTAATAGTTAAATTTCTTTTTCTCCGGAAAAAGAAAAAAAGATAACTTAAGCTTTTATCTAACTGACATTAGACAAATTCTGTTTTTCTTGCTTGATCAAGCAGTTCTAAGAAATTTCGTGACCCACAGACAATGTTGCATGTAGATTTCGGTCATGTTTCTTCACAAAACTGGAAAATGTTGAGATATTTTAGAAAGAGCAGGGAGTACTATCTTTATCAATACCGTCGTTCCATTGGCAGAGAAGTTTATTTAAATATACTATTTTAAATATTTATGTATTTTTATTTCTGGAAATTTTGCTCTTTTGTTTCTTCTAGATACAAATCCACTCCTGTGGCTATAAAGATTATACAAACAGACCTGTCAGCAAATGTGAGCCAAGAACTCCAAGAAAAATTTAGCAGGGAGGTTTCAATGCTTTCTAGAGTAAATCACGAGAGTATTGTCAAGGTATGCACGTATGAAGTAAGGATGCATGCTTGTTCACTTCATGCTTGGTTTGGTCGAGTTCTCATTCCCCTGCTTTTTTAAAAAAAAATATTTTCTAATAAGATGTTTTAAAATTAAATGAAAAATTGGATTCCCAATGATAACAGTAACTTATAATTTTACCAGTGTTTATGCTTTAGTACTCCATGAAGGTGAAACTTTAAAAAGTTGTCTAATTTTTNCCAAATAAGTTTATATCAGATATTCTTGTTGTTTGATCAGTTCATTGGCGTCAGCGTAGACCCGACATTGATGATCATCACAGAGCTTATGAATGGTAGCACGCTACAGAAGTTCTTGTGGAGCACTCGTCCAAATTGCTTGGACCTCAAGCTTTCCATGTCTTTTGCACTGCAGATTTCTCAAGCAATGGAATACCTTCACCGAAACAGAATTATCCACCGGGATTTAAAACCGAGTGAAGTTTCATGCTTACTTTCACATGTTATAACCATTTATGCTGGTCGACACTTGCTAAATTTTGGTTGTTTTAGCAATGACTAGCTTTATGTTTACTTAATTTGAAAAAAAGTCCTTTCTTCTGTCTGCTGTCAAAGTTCTGACTATTATTACAGTGAGCCAAAAAAAAAAAAAAAACATTTTCAATTGCTGATTGAGATACTTCTACTACTGATAATATATGTGTGTAGGCAACTTACTTCTTACAGAAGATAAAAAGAAACTAAAATTGGCTGACTTTGGGCTGGCTAGAGAAGAATCTGATGATGAGATGTCAACAGAGGCAGGGACTTACCGTTGGATGGCGCCTGAGGTATATTTTCTTTAGATGCAAAGTGTTAGTATACATTTGTTATGCTGGATAATAATGACCTTCACTTTTCCTTTTTTATTTTTTATTTTTTATTTTTTTCCCTCTTGTCCTTTCCTTTGAATCAGTTGTTCAATGTAGAACCTCTTTGTTTGGGAGTAAAGAAACATTATGATCACAAAGTAGATGTGTATAGTTTCTCTATGGTTCTCTGGGAGCTCATCACTAACCAAACCCCCTTTAAGGGCAGCAACAACATAATGGTGGCATATGCTGCAGCCATGGTATGGCTGTTTTCTTTTCCTAGATAAATTTTTTAATTGCTTTGTACATTTGATTTACAATTTATGCCCTCAAAAGGGTTGAATTTGTGAAATAGGAACATACCTTACTGTAATTTTAGAAAAAAAAAAAAGAGAGATGCAAATTGAAACTTACTGGTTTTGTATTATAATCAATATATTAGTAATTTGGTGTTGCATGAAATTTTACTTGCTTTAGAACCGAAGGCCGAGCACGGATAACATCCCGCCACAGATTGCAACCCTTTTGCAGTCCTGCTGGGCCGAAAATCCCCAAAAACGACCTGAATTCTACCAGATTTCGAAGTTCCTTGAAAATTTCCTGCTTGGTATTTGCGAACAGGCGAGTGAATTACCCGAGGGACAGCCGAGCTTGTTGGAGGCGGAATATTCCAGAAGCAAACAAGAGAATGAGGCTACAGATTGCTTGATGAGTAGCCGCAAGCAGACTAAGAGGCAACCTAAAAGCCTATGGCTGAGGTTTTCCAGTCGTTTTAGACATTGTCTTTAGAAAAAGACATACAAAGAAGTTACATAGGAGNCTTTTGTAATATTTAGTCTGAGTTGATGCTCGATTTTGGTTCTCCAGCTTGTAGAAGCTCGATTTTGATCCTCTAGCATACTTTGAAGGCTCTTGAGTTCTTAGTATCTTTTAAAAGTGTAGTTTTTGTACAGGAAGTTATGAATGAGGATGTATAACGTAGTATTGAGGAAAAACATAGAGTTTGTGAAGAAACAGAACAATCTTTTCCATTTCCTTTTTGTTTGGCATAATGAATTGGGAAGCCGAACTTGAGAGTCTGGAGTAAAAGTTTCATTCTTTTGGCTAGTCTACATCACAATGCATGTTATTCATCCCCTACATAGAATTAGAACATTAACATGTGTAAGACACATGCATTAAAATAGACAAGTTTACTCTTTCTCTAACCATGCCAATAATTTCAAACAGAATCCAAGTTCTTGTTGCTAAACTGACTCATTTTTCTCCTGAATATTGGATGCCTTTACAAAATATGCCACATAGGAAGTTTCTGATGCTAAAACGTCTCTCTCATCGAAAACCGCAAGTTTGTCCAGCTCCCGGTTCATGTTTTGGGTTCTGAATACATCTTCAGAAAGGAAATTATCCACTGGCTGCAACCTACAAAGATAGCTAACAATGACAATGAAGTCAATTAGTTTACAATTGAATGCTATGTGGAGTTTAAGCTACATTTGTTGAATGTTCTACATTTTGGTGCTTTCCTACCTCTTAGGTTTGAGGTTATTAGGGGCTTATTAAAAGACAAAAGGTTTTGGTCATGCATTATCAAAACCAAAGTCATTGGCCTAGATTACAAGGCATTTTTTTGGTCAAAACAAGGTGTTCAGAACCCATCTGCAGCTCTTCAATCACATTTCTGCCCTGTTCTTATTTCTAGTACGTCTTCAAAATTTTCATCAATAACTTATCAACACCACAAGAGTAGCATGGGTCCTGATATCCTTTTCTTTTCTTTTTTCAGACTCAAAAGAGCTCTCATCTCACAAATTTTTAATTTCCAAAGGGGATGAAATTATTGAAGGATTTTATGCTACAGGAAAGTGGTAGCTGATGCTAAAGTAATAGTCAGTACTCAGTAGTAAAGGAGTCAGACAGAATTAGTCCTTAAACACACAACATTAAATACCAAAAGACAAATATAGGGAAGCAAAACAGGAACTTACAAACACCAAATACAGCCCAAGACATTATCAAGCCGCATTGCCTTTCTCCCTAGTATCAAGGTAAAATGCTCAATGACCCCAGAATGAATAGCCTTTCTCCCTTGTAACACTTCTTGATTCAGGCTGTTTCAGAAAATGACTTTCCCTGTGATTTTTCTTCGATTTTATTCCTGCCTTGTCCCCAAACCTGCTAAAGCTCGGCCGATCATCTTTCGAACCATTTTTTTGCAAGTTTTCACCCGTCTTTCCCTCCACCCAAGTCCGAAGCATAGCATCTATTTCCGGCTCAGGCAAAAACTCCTTTTCCTTCATTTCTAAATAATACTTATTCGCCTCATCCAATTTCCCGTTCAAGAAAAGCCCGTGTATGAGCACAACATACGAACTCCTATTCGGGTCAAGCCCGTTATTGCCCATCTCAGCCCACACCCTGAAAACTAGGTCCAGCTGGCGGCCATGACAGAATTTCTTTATCAACATAATGTACGTGTCATGATCGGGAACACATCCAGCCTCACGCATTTTATCCAAAAGATCAAAAACTTCATCACCTGTCCTCAAAGCCCGAATAAATCCCTGGTAAGTCCGAACAGTCGGGAGCAAGCCTCTGTTAGTCATCTCGTTAAACAATTCTCGAGCTTCTTCTAACATACGGTACTTACAGAGAGGCATTATGATCGAGTTATAAGTGATGCTGTTCGGATTAATTCCGTTCTCCTCCATTGTTTTCATCAGACCACGAGCTTCATTCACCAGCTTTCCTTTGGCCAGAGCATGAATCACAGCATTGTACACCTTTCTGTCCGGTTGAATACCTAAAGCCTTCATTTTTTCATACAACTTCAAAACTACACCCATTCTATTCAGTTTCGAGAGGCAGGATATGATGCTCGAGTACGAGTGAACGTCATGTCTTACTCCCCTTCTTTCCATCTCTTTCCATATGCGTTTTCCCTCTTTCAACGAGCCAAGCACGTTGCACCATCCATTGAGCACGATGTTGAAGCTTTTGGTGCAGAGAGGGAAAATGGACTCATTACAGAAAAGGAGATGCTCGGCATCCTTCACGTTTTTGTACCGGCAAAGGGCCGAAAGCAGACCCTGGAACTCTTCAACCCCTACCTTGAACCCGAATCGCTTGTGGGCATAAAAGGAGTTTATGGCCCGGCCAACATCGTGAACGGCAGCGTATTTTCTGATAATTATCAACAGCGTTTGGGGAGTCACGAGGGACAATGACTTCATGCCGTCAATCACGGCCCAAGCAGTGTCGAACTTCCTGAACTTGCCGAGGATGGCTATCATGGCGTGGTACTCCCGCAGTGAGTGGGAGTATCCGGGCTGCTTGCCGGCCCATACGAAGAAGGTGAAGGCTGCTTCCCAATTGTTCCGTGCCCCGGCGAGAACGTTTGCCGCTAGCGCCCGCGTCAGATTGACACCGGAATAATCGAGTCTCTTGCTCTTCTCTTGAGGATCAAGTGTTTGTAGGATGTCCAGAAGGACTTTGAGGTCGCCGGATGAGCCCGATTTGCCCACGGTTCGGTGCGCCGCGATGTCCTCGTCCGATTCGCTATCAGAATCGTGATTCTCGTCGCCGCCAAAGGCATCTTCTTCGTTCCCGGCGGTTGAGGAGGAGGTGAAAGATGCGTAAACGGCAGCAAGTCTGGGAATATAATTGTTTGTGGGTGGAGGGTAGAGAACGCTGAAATTGGATGGAGGCGCAGATGGGAAATGAAGTGGGAGTTTGATGGGCTGGGTGGCACTGGCAAAATAGGTTTGGCTATGCCGGAGTAAGAAAGGTAGGACTCTGAGATTTCTTCTCATCTTGTGGGAGGTTTTTGAGTCTGGTGGCGGAGGACGGTGGCGGTCATGGTGGGCCGGAAGTGTTTGGGGGAAGGAGTGGCCGAGGGTTTTCACCAAACACTTCCACTGTTTAATTCTTCGGAAATTTTAACTTTTTTTTTAATTAACTGTAAAATTGCAATTTGATGCTAACACCTTTAATATTTTGTAATTTAATTATTATTTTTGTAATTTGAGAAGTTAGTACATAAGTTCTAATAAATGTTGTGCATAAGTTTAGACACTCTCTGTCTCTTATGTCATAACCCTTTTTTTTCCGTCGCGACTTTTCTCTTCTCAGTTCTCGGTACCTTCCCCAACGGGATTGTCCGAGCGGTCGTTGGTGACACCCTTGGGCCTCGCGGCCCGTCACCTAAGGAATAGCTTTGGTTTCGCTGCAAATTTGGTGCTTGGGCGATGTGGCGGGCGGGCGGCCGACTCCTGGGATTTTTCGCTACGGCGGTCCTCCGGCCTTTCTTCAGGAGCGGGATGCGGCTTCAATTTTTCTCAGATCTGGAGTTTTGGAGTGGTGGTTTTCGCCTTTTTCATTCGAGATCGTCTCTGGCCCTGGTGTTGGCTGAGGGGATGGCCGGTGTCGTGGGTCATGGCCCGGTTGGTTGCCGATTCTGAGTCTGCGGCGGGCCAGGTGGTTGTGGGGTGAAGGACTCCGGGTGTAGGTAGGATGTCTGTTTGGATGGGGGTTGGGTCGGTGGTGTCAGACCTAGTTAGGCATTCTCTTGTAGTTTCTGGGTCGGGTTCCTGGTCGTTTACTTATCCATGTGGATGAACATCGGTTGGTGTCGTTATCGTTTCGTTTGGTTAGGCTTCCTATTGCGGGAAGGGTAGTTGTAGTTGTAGTTGTCTTTGTGTCTTTGTGTTCTTGTGTCTTGGTTGTGTTTTATTTATTAATTTATTTTTTGTCCCTTTGAGAGTGCGTTTGGTGTATTCCCTACTTGTGTGAGCTTTTGTTTCCTCTCCTTTTGGGAGTATTTTTTAGTGTTTAATGTTGTTTTTAGGTTGGTTCCAGGTTACTGTATGACGTCTGTCTGTGTAGTCCTCTCAACTAGATTCAGCGATTTAGTTGTTTTACTCGGCCGTTTGGCTGTTTATTCGGCTGAGTGGTTGTTTTCTAGTCTTGTCTGTTTTTGTGAATATATGTGATTCCTATTGTTTTGGAAAAAAAAAAACAAGTTAGTACACGACCATTACTATTTTTAAAAAATGAATCATGACTCATGGCTCCGTTTGCAGAAAACTGACATGGCATTGACGGAAATTAGCGTCTACTGACGTGGCCATGGTGAAAGATACAGTGTCATTCGACACAACATATAATGACATTATTTGTGCAAAAATCATCACACTCCAGAACCCTAATCCCCTTCTCCTCTCTTCTTCAAACAAACGGAAAACTCTGAAAATAATGTCGTGTGATTCGAGAGACAATCGGCGTTGATTATGTTTCCATGGGTTCGNCACGATGATCTCACCGATGTCGCCTTCGAAATGTAAGATTTCTGTTTTGGAACGATCGTCTTTTGAAAATGGTGTTAATATAGTTGAATATGAAAGTATGGTTATCTGAAAGATTGTCCTTTGATTTGGGAATTTTGTAAGATTTTGCGACTGAAAAGTAGGGCTATTTGGTTTGGTCGATTTTTGATTTTGCATTTCAAAATTCGGGTATCTTTAGTTTGACCAAGTTTAGGATTTTTCTGAATTGGATTTTCTGTATCTTCATTTTGTAACTGAAGAAAAGGGGATTTTCTCAAAATTTTGTTTTATGAGGCAGATGATTGTAAGTATTTTGTATAGCTTGATGAAGAATTACTTCCATTTCAAAAGGCTTGTTTTCTGAAGTTGAAGTCTTAGAATAATCTGTTGGATGAGAAAATGAAGAGCAAAATAATTTCTGAGAGTTTGCTTGCTGAGACGCTACATTGAAGGAGAATGAACTTATTCGGCTGCAAAACAAGAATGAAGAGTTGAAGAATAACATTCATG